GGTTTGGCTCAGTGGATAGAGAATCAGCCTGCGGACTGAAGGGGGTCCCAGGTTTGATTCCGATCAAGGGCATGTACCTTGGTTGCGGGCACATCCCCAGTAGGGGGCGTGCAAGAGGCAGCTGATAGATGAATCTCATCGATGTTTCTAACTCTATCTCTCTCCCTTCCTCTCTGTAAAAAATCAATAAAATGTATTTTCTTAAAAAGAACAAAGGCCAAGGAAAAGACATTGAATCACCATCAGTCTGACTTATGGTCCTGTTTTCTTGGCACAACAGGACCAATAAGTCTGAATATTTTCTTTCTTACCTATTTATTCATTTACCAGATATTTGAGTGCCTGCTTTATGCCAGATGTTATTTGATAGTTAGTGGGAGCAGCATAATGAATATAACAACAATTTAAACTCCTCTACCCTAAAGGAGTTTAAATTCTATAAAAGTAGAAAAGCCAATATGAAGATAAACAGAGATAGCTGCTGCTAATTGTGATAAGAGCTATGAAAGAAGTAGGATGATGGGATAGGTAGAAACAGGAAGGATACTTTTAGATAGAATCTTCAAAGAAAGGGGTGTTATTTGTACAAAGATTCAAAGATTGCCAATGATCCAGCCATTCAAAGAGCTGAGGGAGTCAGGTTCAAGGCCAAGGAATGAGCATTAGGGCTAAAGTAGGAAAGAATTTAACATATTCGAGGAAGAGAAGCACAATCTGTCTAGAATAGGGGTATCGAACTCAATCAGAGAAGGGGCCAAAATCTAAAATCCAGCCTAAATCGCGGGCCAAATGGTTTACTGAACAGTCATAAACTGTCATTGTGATGGAAACGCAGCGGAGTGCAGTGATGTCAGCGCGGTGCAGGCCACATTGCAAGGCCTGGCGGGACGGATTTGGCCCGCGGGCCTTGTGTTTGACACATGTGGTCTAGAATGTGATTACTGAAAAAGAGAGTCTATCAAATGAGGTCAGGGAGTAACAGGGCTTTGCAAGCAATTTTGATTTTATTTCAAGAAAAATGGGAAGCTAGCCATAGCTGGTTTGGCTCAGTGAATAGAACATCAGTTTGCAAACTGAAGTGTCCTGGCTTCGACGCCAGCCAAGGGCACATGTCTAGGTTGTGCAAGCAGCAGCCGATCAATGATTCTCTCTCATCATTGATGTTTCTATCTTTCCTTCTCCCTTCCTCTCTGAAATCAATAAAGAAATATTTTTGGGAGAAAAAGAACAATGGGAAATATTAAAAGTTTTAAGCAGGGGGTGATCTGTGATTTGAATTGTGCCTCTCTACCTCCCCCAAAAAGTTATTCTGGCTGCTATTGGGAATGGATGGAAGAGGGCAAGAAAGGAGACAGGATGTCAATTAAGATACATTAAAAGTTATCCAGCCGAGGCTGGTTTGGCTCAGTGGATTAGAGAGTCGGCCTGCAGACTGAAAGGTCCCAGGTTCAATTCCGGTCAAGGGCATGTGCCTTGGTTGCGGAAACATCTCCAGTGGGAGGTGTGCAAGAGGCAGCTGATTGATGTCTCTCTCTCATCGATGTTTCTAACTCTCTATCCCTCTCTCTTCCTCCCTGTGAAAAAACAATAAAATATATTATTTTTTTTTAAAAAAGTTATCCAGGCGCCCTAACCAGTTTGGCTTGGTGGATAGAGATCAGCCTGGGGACTGAAGGGTCCCAGGTTCGATTCCAGTCAAGGGCATGTACCTTGGTTGCGGGCACATCCCCAGTAGGATGCGGGTAGGAGGCAGCTGATTGATGTTTCTCTCCCATCGATGTTTCTAACTCTCTATCCCTCTCCCTTGCTCTATATTAAAAAAAAAAAATCAATAAAAAATGTCACACATCAACAAGACTCTTGAGGTACATAAGCTGATTGCATTTAGCCATGACTTTCCACACCCTCTTTTACAGAGTTTAGTCAGATTCAACCACACTGATGCATTTGTAAATACACAACTAGACTTTACAAAATCTTTCTTGGTGCAACTGTCTGACCTGCTCCAAAGCCTAGAGAGCTAGAATTAGAAATTGTGAATTCATAGAGTTTGAGAATAGAAAGATATTTAGATTCTTCTATTCAATAATTTTTTTAATTAAGTTCCTATTCTGTGCCTCATAATGTATACTGAATTATAAAGTCATATTGTCTCATTTTACAGATGAGAAACCAGAGGCCCAGACAGGCAGGGTCACACAGCCCCTTAAATGGCAAGTACATCCAGGTGACCTGACTCCTCTTCCTGGATTCTTTCTATCCACCATGCTGAAGAAAAACTCATCTTAAGTGCTAAGTAGTAACTTAAAGCAGCTGATGAGTTCAAGAGGAGGACTTGTCATCAGTGACACTACAAAGAACTGCCTCACTACTACAGAGTGGAAGGCCAAATTGTCCTTGAGAAACATTACACAGGTAGTCACTGCCGCCAGCATCATTATCCTGTGTTAATTGCAGGGAGTGTGTGTCCCATGTAGGGTAGTAACAGCAATAGGGGCTTTTACAGGCCCATAATCCTTTACCTGAAATTTCCAAATTCCCTAACTCTGAAAATTGTAAGGTTTTAATTTTCCTTTGGTAATTCATTTGACAGCAAAACGACCTTACCTAAAATCATTTGGCAACAAACCTGACCTGAGTGTGAGTCAATTCACAGCCTTTGTTTGTTCTGTTGTTATGAATATTCACATCTTTTTGCTACAGAAGCATCAATATTTTTATCATGGATGCTCTCGGGCCCCTTTATAATGGGGTTTAATAAAGTATGTAGATATTGTTTTCTTATAACCCACAAAATTCTGAATTTAAAAAAAAAATCTGACTCCAAGGATTATAATACAACCAGGTATTATGAACCTATATTACATTTAGAATATACATATCCGCCCCAGGATTGGTGCAAGGTATACTGGTTTTTAGCCCTCTCCCAATACACAAAGAAGTTTAATTCCATTGAGACTTCACCCTTTCCAGACTCAGAGTAGTTTTATAGTTCCACTAAGTTACTTGGGTTCTAAGAAATTATATTTTAAGTTTATTATTTATTGTTGCTTATATAGCAAAGGAACCTTTTGTTGTTGTTGTTAATCCTTACCCAAGGAAAAACTTCCATTGATTTTTTTTTTTTAGAGAGAGTGGAAGGGAAGGGGAGAGACCGAGAAGCATTGATATGAGACACATGGTTACCTCCTGCACACCCCCAACCACGGCCAGGGATCGAGCCTGCAACCTAGGTACATGCCCTTGACCGCAACCCTTCAGTCCGTGGGTCAGCACTCTAACCACTGAGAAAAACTGGCCAGGACTGGTTTGTTTTTTATACATGTTTGTTTTGTTTAACTATAGCTAATATGAGCTAGAACCTCAGAGATCAAATTGCATGAGGGAAGAACCTAAGGGCCTGAGTGGATGTTTTAGGCTTTAGGGCATGAGATTGGTTGAACCACCACACAACAAAGATGTGAGCTGCCTAAGAAACTTCTTTATTACCTCTTTCTGTTTTACATTTGAGTATTCTGCAAGTCAGCGTTTATTTGAAGAATTCCACTACTAAATGAATGCAAACCACTGGCCTAGCCACTTCTCTCATTTTATCAACAAGGAACTTAGAGTCTTTAATAAAGAATGGATTAACCCAGTTATACATCTTACTAATGCTTAAGCCAAGACAAGAACTCAGAGCTCCTGACTCCAAGCCCAGTGCTCATTTCATTGACTCTCTACCAGGCTTTGAGAAGAAAAGTGGTGGCAGTTCATGTTAGGCAAATGCCCGATGATAAAGGGATCTAAAGAAACTAGAAGAAATGTCATTAGGGCTGAGAGGAGTAGAGGATGGACTTCAAGAAGTTTATAATGAGGGTGAGGGCTGACTGTTTGGATCCCCTACTTCTGGAATAGAACAGACATAAAGAAAATTTTACTCCAACCAAGCTGAAGGCTGGGAAGAATAGGCTAGATTAGGGGTGTCGAACTCAATCAGAGAAGGGGCCAAAATCTAAAATCCAGCCTAAATTGCGGGCCGAATGGTTTACTGAACAGTCATAAACTGTCATTGTGATGGAAACGCAGCGGAGTGCAGTGATGACAGCGCGGTGCGGGCCACATTGCAAGGCCTGGCAGGACGGATTTGGCCCGCGGGCCTTGTGTTTGACACATGTGGGCTAGATATTGGCTAGGCTGCTGAACGAACGGTGAGCCAATGAGTGGGCAGGACCAGCAAGAACAGACATTCTCTTCTTACCCACAGAGCCTATGGCAGGGCAGACAGAACCTTAGAAAAGCAGCCTCAGCTTCCCAGACCACAGAGAACATGCCCAGAGGGTCTGGGTGGAGATCCTGCATTTAGAGAATATGAAGATGCTGCTGGAGCACTCATTGAGACAAGCCTGCACAAACACCAGAAGAAATCCACTCTGGGACCCGTTGCTTCATCATAATCCGGCTAGTGACAGATCAATAAATCAACAAATACAGTTAGCCTTTGTGCACAAGTTCATTCTCCTGACTCAAACCATACCTGCATTCATCCCCTCTGGGTGTGGGAATACAGTCTATGCGACCACATTGTCTGAGGGAGCATTTATTGCTGCATCTTTCTCACCGAGTCTTATGAGCCTTATTCACTCCACCTTAGTAAAACTTCTGCCTCTGTGAAGCAGTAGTAGGGACCTTTGAATAACTCTGCCCAGGCTTAGGGTCTCCTGGGGCCACTGTTTTTTTTGGGGGGGAAATACATTACCCCACCCTCTGGTTGGCAGAGTCCAATCACAATGCATTCCTTTTCTCCTTACTTCATTCCTTGTCTTTCTTCCTCGTCCCATCTTTCCTTTTTTCTCTTCTTCCATCATCAGTTCTCCTTCCCTGTCTTAAGCCTTGCTGGTCCTCCGGTTCCTTTGGGACACTTGTGGAGCCAGGTCAGAGCACCAGCCCAAAGGAACAAAGAAAGCAGAAGGGCACATTCTCTTATCACATCACCTGACTGCCTTCCCTGTCCCACTCAGGCCCTCTCAGATGGATGTCACCCGCCTGCTCCTGGCCACCCTGCTGGTCTGCCTGTGCTTCTCCACTGCTTATAGCCACCTGGCACCTGAAGAGAAGCCAAAAGATGACAGAAGCCTGAGGAGCAACTCCTCCATGGACCTGTGGGATTCCCCTTCTGTCTCTGTCATGGGTAAGTAGCCTGACATCGGGTCCAGCTTCTGAGTTCTCACCCTTGAGAAGGGGCTTCAGGATGCCAAACATGCTCCCCAGGCTGATTGCCATAGGTCAAGGCTCCTTCTTGCTCATCCCATGAAATAATCCTGGAAGAGTAAAGCGTCCTTTGACTCATTTGGTTTAGGAAAGCCCTGCGTTTCAACCTACCTAAAATGTAGCTTGGCGTGTTAGAGGCTTGGAGAGTTAAGACACTTGTGAACTTAGTTTAACTTAGCATTTCTGATACTTATTGAACCACAGCACACCTATCAGTGGTAACAAACTTTAGGAAATCCTGCAGACTATAACCAGGTCTGGAATAAACCAGTCCTGTCAGGCCAGGGTTGAGAATGACTGCTCAGGGAATGTATCAGGGCCATTACAGCTGGTTCTAGAGATCTGTTTTAATTCCATCTGGAAATAATAATAACAAGCATAATTATTGTGTGCTAGGCACTGTGAGGTGAGGCACTATTTTTACTCTTTATTTTACAGTTGGAGAAATTATGTTTTAGGAAAGCTAAGTAGCTAACGTAAGATCACACAGTTCTTAATTGGCGAGCAGGATTTAAGCAGGTTCACTTCAGAACCTAAAATAAAAACTAATGTCCCTTACTGCCTTGCCTCTCACTCGCAAAAAGAGGATATTCTAGATGAAGGCAAGGGAAGGGGTTGAAGCACTGAGTGAACACCTTCGATGTTCTAGACTTTCCACTTTACAAACATACCTTACTATCCTCAAGACAGTCCTGCAAGGGAGGTATTACAGTACCCTGTTTGCAGATTAGAAAACTGAGTCTTAAGAAGAATAAGTAGGTTGGCTAAGGGTACACAGATGCTATATCGCAAAGACTGAATTTAAATCAGGTCTGCCTGACTCCAAAGCTCTGAGAGATAGAAAATAGGACTACAGGAAACCTAGGTCTATCCATATGTAAGACACTGAGTCCATTTTACAGGGCCTTCTGGAATTTCCCCTTTACCTTCCTTCAGAGGACACTTTGCTCTCAGTCCCTGGCTCCAGGTTAGCAGCCAGGCTAACAAGTACCTGATGGCAAAAAAAAAAAAAAAAAAAAAAAAAGACCCTGATGGCCTAAGTGCCAAGATGTGATTCATCCAGCCAACCTCTCATCCTCTCCCCCACCTTGCACTTTCTGGAGCCCCCTCAGCATTTCCCACTTCACTGCAGCTCTGGGCCCCAGAAACATATGTCTTTGCTGTTTTCACTCTTTAAAGGGCTCAACAAGAAGTCCAAAAAGATCAGCAGAAAAGAGGCAGAAAAGAAGAGAGCTTCTAAGGTAGGCCTGGGAGTTCTCACTGTGGGGGTGGGGCTGGACTTAAAAGGGGAGGACCCCCACGCTCTGGTTAGGAACTAAATGACTTTTCAGACCTACACGAAGAAAGGAAGCTGACAGCTACCTAAAGGCTTCCTGCCCTGGAGTCCTAAACCAGACCCTCACAGAAGCCCAAGGAGCTGAGGTTCACTGACTAAAAAAACTGACATGCTGAAAAGCATCTTCCTATACTAGCGAGGCCCCTGCCTGAAATTTTATCACCCCTTATTCTTTTGGGTGAATGCACTGTTACCTACACCTCAGTCATTTCAGAATCATTTCCACAACTTTCGCCACATCTGAGTTTCATCTATTTACGTTTTAAATTAAAATGTTATAAATTATATAACTGTGACAGAAAACCAGCATCATTTGTCATAAGTAGAAGTTAACTATAAAAATAAGTAAAATGAGCCTGGTCAGCGTGGCTCAGTGGTTGAGCATTGACCCATGAATTAGGAAGTCAGGGTTGAATTCCTGGTCAGGGCATATGCCTGGGTTTCAGGCTTGAGATATGCAGGAGGCAGCCCATCGATGATTCTCTCATCATTGATGTTGCAGTCTCTACTTCTCCCTTCCTCTCTGATATCAATAAGAATATATTAAAAATAATAATAAGTAAAATGAAAATAAAATACCGTTAGTGGATTCTAGCTAAATGGTATATCCTGCCAAATGCTCTAAATCTGAGGTTTGTTCTCTGTGTTAAAAGGAAGATTAGAAAGTATTGGGGAGGCATTAAGGACATATTGACCCCAAACTATATTGAGCCTTTTAAGTTGAACAAGATAAAAAATAAATAATTCTTTCTCACTGGGACTCAGCATCATTTAATATTTATGCACCATTTAAAATCATATCACTATGGTACAGGTTCCCACACTTTGGGAAATACTGGAGTAAGGCATTATTGAAATGCACACATTATTCCTTGGTGTGCCTCTTTTTATCAGATCATCTGTAATCAGACGAGGGAAGCCAGGACTAGGAGGTAGGAGGTAGGACCTGGCACTGATCTTTTTTTTTTTTTTTTTTAATAAAAAATATATTTTATTGATTTTTGTACAGAGAGGAAAGGAGAGAGATAGAGAGTTAGAAACATCAATGAGAGAGAGTCATCGATCAGCTGCCTCTTGCACACCCCCTACTGGGGATATGCCCGCAACCAAGGTACATGCCCTTGACCGGAATCGAACCCGGGGCCCTTCAGTTCCCAAGCCGACTCTCTATCCATTGAGCCAAACCGGTCCCAGCCTGGCACTGATCTTGATAACATTCCTGCTCCTCTCTTGGCCTTAGGTGAAGTGAACAAGCAAATTATATAGACAGATAAGAGTATATAATTGACAAATATATCTATACTAGTGTCCTGTGCACAAAACTTTTGCATGGCCTGCACCCTCTCCAATCTGGGACCCCTCAGGGTATGTTTGTCAGACATCCCTCTCACAATCCGGGTCCGCTGGCTCTTAACTGCTCACCAGCCTGTTTGCCTGATCACCCCTAAACACTCTGCCTGCTGGCCTGATCAACCCCAAATGTCCCCCCCCATTCCAGCCTGAGCACCCCTAACTGCCCACCCCTGCCAAACTGATTGCCCTCAACTACCCCCCTGATGGCTAGCTCCCCAAAAATGCCCCTGACGCTGGCCTGCTCACCTCCAAATGCCCCCCACCAGCCTTCTTGCCCCCAATTGCTCCCCCACCAGCCTGATCACCCCTGTCTTCCCCACACACCCCCACCCCCCGCTGGCCTGATCGCCCCTAACTGCCTCTGCCTTGGCCCCGCCACATGGCTTTGTCCGGAAGGACTTCTGGAAGGTCTCTGGAAGTTCTGGTCTAATTAGCATATTACTCTTTTATTTGTATAGATGCTAGGTACTGGAAATATGGAAGTGAACAAGAGTTTTTTATGGGGAAAACAGGCAAACAGCAAGTAAACCAATGAAAAAAATTATTTATATGATAAACACTGAAGGAATTAAAACATGATAATGAGATAGAAGGGAAAACCTCTGCAAGAAAGCACTTAAATATCAGACTGAAAAATTCAGTAATCTCAAACAGCAACACCCAGTAGAAATACAATGGGAACCATATATATAATTTTAAATGTTCTAACAGCCACTGTTTGTAAAAGTAAAAAGAAACCCCTGCAATTAACTTTAATGTTGAATTTAACCCAATATATTAATATTCAAAATATTATTCTTTTCTTTTCTTTTTTTATTTCAGAGAGGAAGAGAGATAGAAATATCGATGGTGAGAGAGAATCATCAATCAGCTGCCTCCTATATGACCCCTACTGGGGATGGAGCCCACAACCTGGGCATGTGCCATGATTGGGATACCAGCCATGACTAACTGGTTAATAGGTAATTGCTCAACCACTGAGACACACTGGCTGGGCCACATCTTAATTCTGATATTAATTAAATATTTTTTTCTTTAAAAATAAGAATCTCCTTTCTTCCAATAGGAACTTCTTTTTTTAAAAATATTTTATTGATATTTTACAGAGAGGAGAGGAAAAGGATAGAGTTAGAAACATCGATAGTGAGAGAATCATCGATCAGCTGCCTCTTGCACACCCCCTACTGGGGATGTGCCCGCAACCAAGGTACATGCCCTTGACCGGAATCGAACCTGGGACGCTCTATCCACTGAGCCAAACCGGTTTCGGCTTTGATATTAATTTTTAACAAAGTCAAACGTAGTCCTAAAAAAAAAAAAAAAAAAAAAAAAAAGTGTTTATCAAAAAAATTTTACACTGCTTCAGTTTTAAATTAAAATTAAATGAAAAAATTTAAAGATCTTTATTGATTTTTTTTTTTTAAAAGAGGGAGAGCAAAAGAGAGAAACATTCATGTGAAATTGGCTGCCTCACCATCTTCTGGAGCCCAAACCCAGGCATGTGTCCCAACCAGGAATAGAAGGGGCAACCTTTCAGTGCACAGGACAATGCCCAACCCACTGGACCACACCAGCCAGGGCTAAATTGAATAAAATTTGAAGATTCAGTTCTTCAGTTGCACTACAGGAAAGGGAGTATCCAGTTCAAAAACCCTGTAGTAGGAACACTTTTTCTTCGTTTGGCGCACAGGCCAGTGGGACAGTGTGGTAAAGGTGTTGAGGGGAGGGGTGGGCGCACCCAGGGCCTCAGGGCCAAAGTAAAGTTTATGTTTTATTGCCGAGTGCAAAGAAAAACCATTGGGGCTTTAAACCAGAGTGGGATGCCATCACAGGTCTTCGGAGAGGTTTCTTCGGAGCACTGGAGGATGGACTAGAAGGGGCCCAGGGCAGCACAGAACACAGCCTGGCCCAGGGTAGCAGAGGCGAAGAAGAGAGCAGAGTCAGGATTTATTGTGAAGGCAGTACTGAGGGGGGTTGCAGATACAAAAGGGAGAAGGGGTAGTTAAAAACTGGAGTTGAGTGGGGTCCCTTAGGGCCAGGCCAGGCCCTGTCAGTTTTGCTGAGGATGGAGGCGGAGGGACATGATTAGGGACAGCCAGGGCCCCCTGGGGTGAGACAAGCAGGTGGTGGGCAGTGGGTGGGGATGTGGGTCCGTGGCCTCCACAGCCCAAAGATTCCTCGGCAGAGGTGAGGTCGGGTGGGGCGGGAGTGGGCTGTTAGGTCAGCCCCGGCATTTCCCAACAGAGAAAGGCTTCGACTAAGAAGGTGACGAGGATCCGGCCCCCGCCGCCCAATCCCTGCGTGGCCACCCGCAACAGCTGCAAACAGCCGGCGCCCCCCTGCTGTGACCCGTGCGCCGCCTGCATGTGCCGCTTCTTCCGCAGCACCTGCTCCTGCCGCGTGCTCAACCCCAACTGCTGAGCCGCCTCCCGGCCTCAGCGGGGCGTTTCCCAGGTAGGAACTCCCCCTGGACCCTGGGGTCCCTCAGGGCTGGTGATCACTAGTAAGATGTGGCTTCTTAGGACTCGGCGCAGGCGTGGCTACTGAGGTTGGGGCGTAGCTTTTAGCAGGAGGGACTTCAAGGGCACGTGGGTTGGGCTGGGCTAAAATCCAAATCGTTTATGTAGGCTGATTGAAAGTGTATGGCTGTTTCTTTAAAGGACCAGAAAGATCATTTTCCTTTCAAGGAGATCCACTTTACATGGGAAGTATGGCAGGCTGCGCACACACTATTTCCGTGGTCTGGTGGGGGGCTGGAGGGGGGTAATGGGAGGTGGGGGGGCGGGAACAGGGACCGATTATTCCAGCTCTAAGGCTATACTTCTCTTAAGCGTTTCTCCAGATCAGCTGGAGACAATGCTGCCCCCTACCCGTAAACCAGAGAACACCCGAAGATGCCTCCACATCTAGGGAATGCAGACCACCAGACAGAAAGGAAACATTAAGGAACTACCATCAGTCTTTCACCCTTCTAAGGAGCTCCCTCGACCCCACCCCCGAGAAAAACAAGAAAGGTACAACTCCATACACAGCCTCACTGGTTTGTCTGTCCTGGGGGGTCTGCATATAAACCTGGAATGGCTGGTTGTGACTGGGCGATGCCATGGGTCCCTATAGCCAGAAGGCTATGCCTTAGGAGACTTCCAAACAAAGTGCCCCTTATGCCCACCCTCCCTTTTTTCCAGGGGTTTCCAGAGGTGTGGGGGACTGGGAGGAGTTTCTTCCACTGCCAAGCTAAATAAATACTTACCCCGGGTCCCCCGGCATTTTTAACCCTGACAGCTGTGTTGGGGCTCCAAGTAAAAAGCAGGGGTTCAGCACTCTTTCCGCACTCACATCACAGTAAGCAGGCAGCGAGCTTGGTGACTTGAAAATAAAAGGGGACCACTAAAATGGGAATCCAGAGGCCAGAAAGGGAAGCTCTAACACTCCATGGCAACTACAGGAAGAACTGCCAATCATAGGCCCCAACAGGAAAAGATGTTCATTGCATCTCCTACAAGAAACCAACCACCCTACAACTCGGCCAATGAGAAACCATCATCTCCCTGAGGTCACTTTTCTCCAATGGACCTTTGTTCAAAAACTCTCTCATTCCTTTTTCTCCGTAAAATACGGTTCCTTTCCTTCATTTGTTGGATTTGCCTCTATGGCTTTTGTTAAGGTTTGCATGTCCTGATTTGCAACTCTTTGCTGTTCCCAAATAAACTCATTTTTGCTGGTAAAATAACTGACTTATTTTTTAATTGACTTTGGAGACAGAAGGGAGAGAAACATTGGTTCGTTGTACCACTCATTTGATGTGCCCTGAGCAGGGATTGAACCCGTAACCTTGGCATATTGCGAGATGCTCTAACCAACTGAGATACCTGGCCAGGTAAAATAACTTTTACTTTTAAGGTCAACAACCTGAGTAGGCAGCAACCTTTGTCCTAGATTATTGGGGCCTGTCACCTAAAATGTTCCAAGCTGGTGCCTGAAATTTCATTCTTACAGATTATCTGAGTCTGTGAGAAGCCAAGTGCAGCAATGTCTTTGGAAGGACCCTGGGAAGAGGAACACCTGTGATACTGCTTTGGGGAGGAAGGGGATTGAGGTGGGAAGGAGGTCTTTGATCCCAGCCAGAGCCAGGGATCACAAAGGAACTCCCAGCACCTTGCTGCGCAAGGGCTGTAAGAGCTGAAATGCCACATGTCAATGCACCCAGCAGCTGGAGCTCTTCCTCAAGGAATCACTACAAGAACCAGGACGTTGCAAACTGGCATAAGATGATTTTATGTGAGTGGAACATCGATCATCTGCCTCCTGCACACTGACCAGAGATTAAGCCCACAATCTGGGCATGTGCCCTGGCCAGAAATCAAACCAGCAACCTCAGCAACCTCTCAGTGCATGGGATGATGTCCAACCGAGCCACACTGCCCAGGGCCATACGGAGATTTTTAAAAGGCCTTTGCACAAGAATGATTCTAGAAGCGGAGGCAGAAAAAAATGTGAAGCAGTTACCTCTGCCCTGATAGCTGATACCATGATACAAGGACACATGTATCTCTGTCCTTGGAGGTGAGGACAGTGGAGCTCAAGGGCCAGCACAACTAAAGCCACCTCCGCTGGCCCAAGTGTCCATTCACCATCTTCCATCTTTCAAATTCCTTAAAACTCTCTCCTTTCCAAGGACCTTGTTCCAACTGAAGACCCTGGTTGTGCTTGCAGTGACATAGCCAGTATGCAATAGGAGGCAAACTTCAGAACGTGGACCAGATAGAGCAGGAACCACCTGGATAGAGTACAAGAAAAAGATGGGTGCTCCAGGCTAAGCTAGTAATAATCCTGCACACTGGACAAATATGTGCTTCTCTGGGCTTCCTTTTACTTGTAAAATGGGAAGCACCTGCCATTATTCCTGATGTTCTTGTTATAAATCTGAGATAGTGATGCTTCTTGTGCCTTAATAAGAAATATGATGAGGGGAGGAGGAGCTGCCAGTTGCTTGTTTTGTTTACTATCATTTAGGCTGCAAGACCACAGGACAAGAACCTTTTGTACCTTGTACCACAGCTGCTACTGATAAATTAATAAGAATATTAGGAACATATTGCAGCCACAGGTCCTGTTTTCCAGACATTGGTCACCAACCAGGCACCATTTGGCTCCCAGGGGTGAGGCCTCAGATGCAAAGCCAATGAACCAGTCCATTAGTGATGATAAAATAAACAAATAATCACTTAGATGCTGGGTCCAGACAACTGCATGGAAGACTAACCCATTTATTCATTCAGCAAACGTGTACTGACCACCTACAATGTGCCAGGTGCTGTGAATATTGTGAATGAGTCCAATATGAATCCTCTCCTTACAGAACTATGGTCCAATGGACCATGACCAGAGGCCCTGGTAGAGGCTAAACAGTTGTTAGGAATAGTTCCCCTTCCTGAGAAAACAAAAACACAGCCATGTACCCAACCCTTGGCCAATTCCTTCTTTCCCCAAGAAGCTATGATGGCAGAGCCCATACATCAGGGTAAGAGGCTTAGGAGACACATCATCTTTCATTGTGAGCGCCTGGTCAATGTTACCCATGTGATAGATTAGCAGACCTGAGATCAGAGTTAAGGCTGAGACCAGACTGGCAGGACATCTCCAAAAAGGAGGGGAAAGCCTGGGTAATAAACCAGAATCCCTAGGGGACCAGAGATGGGGGGGAGGGGAGACTACATGGGACCTCACAGATGGGGACATCTGGACAGCTGTGTCTGGGAGGAGACAGACTTGAGGGAACGGAGTGTGCTTACACACGAGCCAGGCCTGTTGGAGCAGGCAGTATGGCTGTGGTGCAAAATAAGGCATTTAACCTCTCTGGCTCAGATGAACAGTGGCCTCCTCCTCTTTTCTACTGAGAAGTCATTGTCCCAAAGATTACCATGGTAGAGTGGCTGAGGTGGGCACTAGGCAGCACTTGGTGGCAGTCTTGCCTTCAGGGGACCTGGGTTGTTCCAGAGTTACTGCTCCAAGTGTTGGAGGGTCTGAAACCAGGCTCCCTTCCTCCTAAACCAGGGCCTGAAGGTGTGGGAAGAGCTTGAATTTTGGGCTAAGACACCACTTTTGTGGTGTCTCTCAGAGCCTGTTTCTTGATTTGTAAACCAGGAATTCAAGTCCCTACAAAGTTATCATGAAGAATAAATAAGTGCTTACTTAGCACAAAATTAAATGTACAACAAATAGCAGTGGGCATGGTAGTGACTCTTGAATCTGTTTTGACCACTGATGTCATTATCAGCTAAGTGGGTCCCATGTCATTTGTCACTAACAACTACCATTTAACTATCAAAGTTTGTAAGCTATTTACAGCATCTTATTAGGTATGCATATAACTTACTGTATAATCTAGGGTCAGCCACTTGGCCTCTCTGAACCTGTCCTCATTACTAGCATAGAAGTAATATCACCTCCTAGCTAGAGGCTGAGAATACAAAAATGAACAAGACACAAGTATGGAATGTCCAACCGAGAAAGGCCATTTCAGAAATCTGTGCAGCTAACGTTCTCATCTTAATGTGTAAGGTGTCTCCTTCCTGTCCCTCAGGCTACCTTTCTAGTCCTCTATCTCATAATTTCCCCTCAACTACAGCCAAAAAAACTCTCTCCTCCTACTCTCTCACTTTTTTCTCGTGTAAGCTGGTCTGTTGCTGCCTGGAATGCCCTTGCTTTCAGTTCCTTCTGTTAAGTCTTCATTTCTATCAAAATTGATTTCAAGTATCACCTCGTCCCTGCCATCTTTCTCCTACTGCTGCCAGGCACTAAACTCTATAAAGCTGGGCAGATAGATGTACCAGATGGCAGAGCTGTTTGTGTGTCTGCCTTCTACCTCTAGCTTGCGATCTGAGCAGCTGGGTCAGGTCTCAGGCATCCCCATCAGGCTCCGTCCAGTAGATGACCCTGAGAGCAGTTTCCAGTTACCATTCCCAGGTAGGTTATTTTGCTTTAATTGTCTAGACCAGTGTTTCCCAAACTTTTGACATATGTGTGTCCCTTCTATAATTTTCGTAACGCTGAGTAGCCCTCATACTCATGAGAACGTAGAATTAGGCACAGCTAAGCATGGTGCAGTGCATATCCCCACCAAACTCTGGTGCAACATGTACCCCCACCAAACTCTTCCTGTACCCCTGGGGGTACGCATACCACACTTTGGGAAACACTGGTCTAGACCAGAACAGGGGTTCAGCCAATGACCACTTAGGCAAATAGGAAGGTGGCTAACTTCCCACCCACCTTTTTATTATTTCATTCATGATGAGGCCTCTTACAAACTGTGAATTTAGGAAAGACATTTAATTTAACCTGAGTCTCTATTATCATCTATAAAGTTAGGATATATAATATACTAATCTTGTTGTGAGAATAAAGAAAATCAACTACAA